AAAGCGACTAGGACTCTTTCTGTGATTTTCTTCGTGATGGCTCTTGGGTAGAAATCTTTTGTCTTCCTGCTGACAAATGTGCCTTTTACATAACTTCGTGGTTTTCGAATAGCATGATATCTTTATTTCTCTCTCGAAGATTCGAAGTCAAGCCTCACTCTTCTCCATGGTATGCCACACATTGCGCTGCTTCAATTTTCAATTGAAACCATTACTTCCATACCTATTAGCAAAACTATTCTCCAGAAAATGGACGTCTGTTTACTATTGCTAAAAACCATTGTAAAAAGTTTTTGTTTTACGCCAAATCCCGCTATTCTTAAGTTATGAAATCTCGTATGTCATTATAAAAATTAAGCTCTCGTGATTTATGGAGAACCTTTAACAGCATCAATAATGAAGGAAAATCTGTTATTCCACATCTCTAGTATGGTTCAGATTTTGTTACCTTACCTAAAGACAAAGTTAAATTGTTTGCTAAGAATTTTACATCAATATCATCTCTCAATTCCACTAATCGCGTTCTTCCTGGTAAAGCCGATAAATAGGTTGATCCACTGCTTGATATTTCTGTATCTTAAGTATTTTCCTGACTTTTCTACAGCTTGTGATCCGGACAAAATAACTGTTATAGCCTTGCAGTACTTTCTGGAGCTGTCTTCTAAACTTTCAAAACTATTTAATAAGTGCTTATTAGATTCTTGTTTTCTAGCCTGCTGGAAAGCAGGCTGAAAAACAAGACTTGGATTGCTCTCCAGAATGGAGAGCGATCAAAAAACATTTATTCGTCTAGGTTTTTTCCTCGAACACCGATGATCTAAAGTTTAAAGAACAAATGAAGAACAACGCATTAGTGCTGTAAAGTGTCAAGTAAGATAGTCTGCATGGAGTGACGCTATCCATAATGTTGTTAGGATGTTGGCATTTCCATAGAGAAAAGGTCAAGTGGTATATTATTATCGCTCCCGAGTTTGTTTTGGTGCTAAAACAAAAAATAAAAAAAATAAAGCAAGCTAAAAAAATTCAGGTAAACCATTTCAATGTATGCTATCTTAGCAGCGAAGACTGGGCGACATATATTTTTGCCCAGGGATTTGTCTTGGCTGATGACGATAACTTGTGACGTTATATGGTATAAAATGATGATATTACATGTTAAAACATGTGAGAAAAGCGTTATTCAATATTGAAAAACAAAAACAAATGTTAACCTAAGAATTTATTAATTAAAGATTTAGGCCATATGAAGACAGCGTTAATATGCAAAATTTAGATTATTTTGCTAAAAAAAACGCTAATAACAGAGCCTTTAAAAGTAGAAAAAAACCTTTAAAAGTGTTTTTGCCAATTTTCAATTTTAGTAATAATTTATAAACGTAATATCTTATTGGCTAATGATTTGCTCCTTAAATTTCTAGGGTATCCTCAGTATGCTTCAGAAATTTGGTTAACAGTTTGGATTTTAAATATATTCGTTAAATTTTTTAATAAAAATTAGTTTACATGTCAAATCACCTATTAGTTCAAAAATTTTTTTATTAATTCTTGATTAAATTTAAAATATGCCCTTAAACGAAAAAACCATTTATGCCACTAAGTCTGACAGGAAAATATTTTAGCAAATTCAATTTTAAACACTTTTTCCACCATTATAGATGTAAAAAACTATTTTGATTATTATTTAAAATAGTATTTCAACAGAAATATACAAGTTTTTTATTATGTTTATATTTTTTATTAAAAAGTGCATTTTTGTAGAGTACTACCTTAAATCAACTGATGATTTTCTAAACTTTATCTAAACTAAAAAAAACTAAATTTCCTTCAAAAGCCATCAATTTGTTTAAATTAAAAAAAAAAAAAAACTAAAAGAAAATTAAAACAGTAACAGATTATTAAGAATAAATTTAAAAACTTAAAACTTTAAAATAAAAGTAAAACTTTCAAAATAAGACGTAGAAGATTGTATATAATTCTATATAAAATATATTTTACATTAACAATTTGAAATTTACATAATTAACATATTTACATATCTATATATATTTTCTATTTTCTATATATAAAAAAATTCAATACAACTTTTTCTTAGCCTTAACAAATAAAAATGTCTCTGGGTCAAATCGAAAGAGTTGTTGTTATTTTTGATGTTATATTGCAAAGTTGATTCACCACTGCGTCTTAAAACAGCTAGAAATTAGACAACTTTTAAGCTACCACACTACCATACTTCATTGACTACATACAAATTGCATTTCAAAATCAATACACAAGTATACATGACTTATTAAAGACTAACTGATCAGGTTTTAAAATTATGATGTTCCTACATCAGAAGTTGATTGTATTTCAACGCAACAAAAATGTTAATTTTTGTTGCGTTGAAAAAAATCTCCATCAGTAGGTTCATCTTCATAATGATACTGATAGAAAAACAAGCTGTGAAAGATAAAAATAAGATAAGTGCTTTTACTAACTTAATTTGTTATTGCTCTAATCATTAAGAACATTGAGCACTCTAATTATAAAATAGCAAAATTGTAGTCGAAACAGACTTTTTTTTACATTAAAAGTCTCTTTCGACTACACTATAAAGATATATATATATATATATATATATATATATATATATATATATATATATATATATATACATATATATATATATATATATATATATATATATATATATATATATATATATATATATATATATATATATATATATATATATATATATATATATATATATATATATATATATATATATATATATGTACAACACCATGCATAGTATCTTCTTATTTTCTTATATCTAATATTATTCTGCAAAAAATATTTTAATGGCTAAACTAAATCAATATAAACGGCAAACGGCAGTTTAATATAAAAACCTCTTTATAGAAACTTTACCTTGCGATGTAGCTTTTCTATACGTAAAGTGTCGGAATTCTATAGTATTTCTATACCGCGTAGATTTTTTAAAAAATTTTTCGTACTTCTATACAGTTTTTATAGAAACTGTACACATTCCTCTTGTCATCATCGTCATCATCATCATTATCATCATCATCATCATCATCATCATCATCATCATCATCATCATCATCATCATCATCATCATCATCGCCAAGCCCTATTACTGCATTGATAACTGAATCAGATATTAGCATAAATAAAGTGGATATAGCAAACGTACCAAATTTGGAATTTCAATCTGATTTCACAATCAAAAATGTACGCACACTACCGCGTTTCCCTTACAGAACATCAAACACAAGTTCATTTCCCTTACAGAACATCAAACACAATCAGTTCATTTCCCTTACAGAACATCAAACACAATCAGTTCATTTCCCTTACAGAACATCAAACACAATCAGTTCATTTCCCTTACAGAACATCAAATCATCATCAGAACATCACAATCAATAAAAATAGACCAATCTCTAGAAGAATCACATTTAATCAAATTTTCTGGCACTAAATGCTTAAGTCCATTAGTTCTAAGTGCGCAAAATTAATAGCCAAACCATTATCACTTATATTTCAACATTCAATTGATCAATGTGAATTATCCGAATCTTGGTTAGAAGCCAATATCACTTCATTATAAAAGAAAGGCTACAATACTGATTCAGTTAATTATCATCCAGTTACCCTAATTTCTGTTACTTGAAAAATTATTGAGAAAATAATTAGAGATAAAATCACAGAAGGGCATTTCCAAAAAATCACGCACGGAAACTCGTATATGTACTTTTATTTTCATAAAAATAAAACTAGCGATCTCTAATTTACTCTCATTTAATTCTAATCAATATAAATATTTTGTAAACAAAAAATAGTAAGCATTAGCAATGATAACAAAGAATAAATAAAGTTTGAAATGGAATCACGCACGGAACAGAAAAACTTCTATTTTAGTTACTAGATAAATAAACTTTAATTACTCGGAAAATAAAAGTTTCACCGGTATACTTTTTTTTTTAAATAATATTTTAAACATTAGTAAAGATTTCTAGAAAGTTACAGGATTACGCTATAAATCATAGAGTCACAGCAATCGTTTAAATGCAGTTTATGAATGATCACGCACGGAAGTCACGCACGGATGTTGCGAATTTGTCAATTTCATGTAGTCATTTTTATGAAAATAAATTGCTTGTGAGTGTTTCAAATAAAATATTATACTTCTACGACTCATATTTAATATATTTTCGATGAGAAATAGCAGTCATCAATTATTTCTAGCTAGAGTATGGCGTTTTGAAAATTATTGTATATTTTTTAAAATGTTACGATACTATTATGTTTACCTTTATTATTTAAACTGGGAAAAAACGAAATTGTTGGTAAACTTTCTTCTTGAATAAACTCTTTCATTTCAATTTGTCAAAAACGTGTTGTTTTTGGAAAAACAATATTTGATTAGGTTCCAGTCATTAGCGGTGTTCCTAAGATTCTGTTTTGACACCTACTTTGTTTATAATATACGTTAATGATCTGTCTGATAAGTTAAAAAGATAAACAAATATATATAGTCAACTTGTTTGAAACAAAAAATCAAAACTACAAAATTAAAAAGCTTCTAGTTATAATTGCTATAAACTTTTACATATCATTTTTATTGTATCAAGCTCTATGTATAAGGTTAAAATGGGTTATCCTGCCGTTAAGGGAGGTACAGACTTTTGTAATTTTTTTAAAAACGTTTCTAAAACGTTTCTAAAATATTTATAAATTTATAAAACGTTTCGTTTAATCATAGTCATAATATCAGATCTATATTATGACTATGGTTTAATAACATCTTATGTTCTATGTTTAATAGCATCTTATGTTCTATGTTTAATTATTTTAATAAGTAATTATTAATTCTTTTAAGTTACAATGTGTTCAATATTATTTTAACACCGTCGAGTTTATTAAAGCTTATATATTAAATGGTGCAATGCAGGATAACCTTAATATGTTGTCAGAAAAAAAAAACAACAAAGTAGCAAATAGTTTTTATAAATCCAAAAACTAAAACAAACTGAAAATGCTCCTAGTAGCTCGGAAAACCACCGTGTACAAAATAAGTGTTTGCATATTTTTTCGAAAGTTCATCTACTTTATATTTGGTTTTCCAGTAGTTTTGTATAAAATCGGATAGACGGAACTGGTGGATGACGTCACGCATTGTTTGGTAGTTGTTTCTGTCAAAAAAAAACTCAAAAAAGTTTGTGTCGTATGCATTTTTACTGTTGCCGTTCATTTTAACCACATAAGGACGCAATATTTTAAAATAGAAATGCCTAAAATTATCACTTCCTATGTTGTAAAGAGCGTTGCAATTTATGTGAAAGTAGTCAGGAGCATATAAATCATTTTTCATAAATTGTTTTATGTCACCTCGGAAGGTAGAGCCCTTGACCCAGAAATTTCCATTGCCTATTTCACTGAAAAGAGCATTTAGCCAGTTGGATTTGATTGGTCGCACGTCTGGTTCCATGTAAAACACAAATCCTAGATGATTAAAATGTTCGTTACTTTTGTTAAGCATTGATTCAAACATTAACCTTGAACTTTTTGCATTCAGATAATCGTCTATGTTATTGTATTTATAAAAAACCACATATTTATTAGCAAAGCATTCCAAAGTTTGGTTTGAAATTAAACTTATTTTTTTCATGATGCGATGGCCTTCATTGAAATAGCCTACGTAAAAAATTAGTTCTACGTTATTACTGCTTGAATTCGTTTGATCACATGGTCGAAATATTTTCCATTTGCTTATGTTATCAAACACACTTTTGATTTTTTTAATATGGAATGGAATTACTATTTTTAAATTTCTAACTTGCTGTGTTGTGTAATTGTGCGAATATTGAAATGGATCGCTGTAGTTTAATATAATTGGTATTAAAGATGTTTGATTATCGGTTGTATTAACGTTTTTCATGCATATTTCCATATAAAGGAAGACAATTACGCAAACAATAGTTAGTAAAGCTTTTAGTTTACTTTTTAGTCTCTTTTTTAAAACGGATTTTCTTTGATATTCCATAAAACAACTGATATTTTGCCTGAGCAAATTCTATGATTGAATGCTCTTTTGTATGGTATTTAGCTTTATGTATTGTATTTAGTTGTTAAATTCTATGATTGAATGCTCTTTTGTATGGTATTTAGCTTTATGGTATTTAGTTAAATTATTCATTTCTCTAAAACTAAAACAAAAGAAATTCAAAATTATGAAAAGTTTTAATTCAATGTTAAGCACATATTTACATATAATTAAAACTTTTTTAAGCATGGTTTTTTTAAGGCCGTAAACAACTTTTTTTGATAAGCTAAGCAACTTTGAAAATGAAGAAAACTATTTGATTCAATAATCTCTTCACGGTGCATAGGAACATGCTCTGAGACCTTGCAACACATCCCCAGAAATTTTTTTTTTTTTTTTATCAGAAGACACTTCCTTATTTCAAACTTGTGAAAAACAATTTTTTTCACCGTGAGCCTAGGGAGAAATCACGTATTTAAGGCGAGTGCCTAGTAATTTTATTGTTCAAGATAGGCAACTAAGAGCTATGTGGCATAATCAAGTTTTTAGTATTTTAATACTGGTATCAAATGAGGATGACTTGCAAAAGTTTTAGGTAATTGTAGCTAACCCAACCCCGTCCTGACCCCTAATTGCTCTCTTCCTAGAACTACGTTTCCTAAAGTTATAAAATATGTTTTTAAGTTCTATTATAAATTAGCCCAAAATTTATAAACAGATTTTAATTTTCATCAAAAAATCTCTTTTCATTTAAGATTTATGACCAAAAGAAATTTAAAACTCTACAGATTTCTCTAAAACCCCAAATGCTTTATATTTCTTTTATTTTTTTAATTAAACGTTACTTCCTAATGTTTAATTGTGTTCATGAATTTTTATTTACAAATCAATGATTTGTAAATAAAAATCTAATTAATGAATAATCGTCATAGTTTATGCAAGTTTAAACTTGCATAAACTATGACGATTATTCATTAATTAGACTAAAACATATTTTGTGCATTTTATATTATGTACGCTTAGGTTACTGGACCGAACAAGCTTTTGAATCCATTCACGAGGATTTCAATCAATTTAAGCGAATGAGAAAAGTTAGAGAAAGCCCAAACTAAATTGAAACGCTAAAAAACGCAGTTGTTGCTTACAACTACAAACACTTTTAAAGTAGCTTTCAATTTGCAGGTAGCTTGTAAAAAGTATAATATATTAACCTCTTATGAACAATTGTTTAACATAAATTCTTAATATTTGGTATGATGATATATGACATGAAAAATATAAATAATAATTTAACCACATAGACCCTAATTTTATTTTTACGGTGACCAAGTAGTCGTAGTTAACCCTATTGGACCCTAATACCTCACCCCTAGTACATTTTTTAAATAAAGGAGAGTCTTGATAATGAACAAAAAAAAATTTCTGGAGATGTGTTGCAAGGTCTCATAGCATGTTCCTAGCACCGTGTTTTGTTGTTCGGCTTTTATGAATTTATAAAGTTTACACCCCCCTCAAATTGAGAGAACGGTAAACTTTATATGGTCATAAAATCTGAACAACAAAAGATTATTGAATCAAATTTGAAATTCGTCGATGAATATAATATACGGCTGTGTTATTTATGTAAATAATAATGTTAAATGTTTATTTTTAATTTACTTTTTAAAAAAAGATTAAGTTTGCGTCAAATTATTAAACGTGGTTTAAACAATGAATAATTTATAGATAAATATAGAAGATCTAGAACATAATTGATGCGGAAGTCCTGACGGATGTAGAATTTACTTTGTACATGTCGGTGTTTTACTTTCAAAACTGATTTCATTTATTAGGCCGGGTGAATAAAAATGAGCAAATGCTTTTACTCAGTAATTGGTCAGCTTTACGCGATTAAAAACTTTAGAAATTTTGCTTTTTTATTCACGTAAAGCTTAGCAGTTATTGAGTAAATTGCTTAACTATATGTGAATTTAAATCTCCTGAAAAATAAAAACCTTCAAAACTTTTATAAAAAATACGGTTATAAAAATAAGTAAAGAAAATAAAACATTATATATTACTGGTGACATAAATCTTGACGCTCTTTCTAACACAAAATTTTACAAAAATAAAATCTTTTTTTGATATGTTTTTTAAATTGAATGTCTTGTCAACTATTAATAAACCAACGCGAGTAACAAAAACCTCGGCAACAGCAACAGACAATATTTTTATTAATAATTATTTAGAAACGACATTTGAAACCGGTATATTTATGACAGATATTAGTGATCATTTCCCGGTATTCATAAAAACAAAAAATCTAAAAGCTATGACTGATTGTCATTCAAAAATTATACATTTGAAAAAACGAAATTTAAAAATGAGTAACACTAATAAATTAACAAATAGACTAAAACAAGAAAAATTGTACAACGTATATAAATGTCAAGATACGAATGGATAAAAAGCTATCTTACAAACAGAAAACAATATGTAAATAATGTCCAATCTGGAGTGTTAAATGTCGTATGTGGAGTTCCGCAAAGATCGATTTTTGGTCCACTTCTTTTTTTAATATATATAAATGACTTCTGTAATGCATCCTTAAAACTTAATTCAATCATGTTTGCAGATGACACGAATTTAGTTCTTACCAACAACGATATCAAGAAATTATATGCGGACATGAATATTGAACTAAATAAAGTAAATAACTGGTTTAAGGCTAACAAACTCTCACTTAATGCCGAGAAAACAAACTATATACTTTTTCATAAAAAACACAAGAAGAAAGTCTTACTCTCAAGTTGCCGAATCTATTTATTAATGATAAATTAATTAAAAAGCAATCCAATATAAGATTCTTGGGAATCGTTGTTGATGAAAAGTTATCCTGGTTTCCTCATATAATATATATCCAGTCAAAAATTACCAAAATCATAGGTTTAATGTATCGAGTTCGCTCGTACATCAATACAAATAGTCTTAAATTAATCTACTTTGGGCTAATTCACAGCCTCATCAGCTATGAAAACATTTCATGGGCAAGTACTCAAACTATATAGTTTTCAGAAACATGCCTGTAGAATCATTTACTTTAAAAATAGGCGGGAACATGCTTATCCCTTGATGAAAGATATGAAAATGATGAATGTATTTGAAATAAATATCTACCAGCATTTAATTTTCATGTATCGTTACAATCACAATATCTCTCCTATAAGCTTTAATAATAAGTTTGAGTTAAATAAAAGTGATAACTATAATCTTAGAGCGAATATGTTAAACACATATAAACTGCCAAGTATAATAAATAAATATTCAGAATACAGCATTTTATATAGAGGTCCAAAAGTATGGAATATTTTTCAGAAAGGGTTTAAAGGTACGGTGAGTTCGTTAAGTTCATTCATGTTTTTAACAAAAAAAGAAATCTTTAAAACTGGTGAAACATTTTTTGTTAATAATGCTTTGGATAAATTCTCTTAAATAAGTTTTTGTTTTGTTTCTACTTTTGTTTGTTGCTTGACAATTTTTATTAGCGGATTACGCATTTTGCTATGATATTTTATTGACATTTTTATTTTGTATGTCATATTACGATATTTTAATTAAATCTTGTTAAAGGAGTTCTATGAAAAGATTGCGATGACGTTCTGTCATCCTCATCTTTTTTGAGTCCCTATCTGTTTTACTTATTTTGTTAAATTTTATATTATGTAGATTATATAGTAGAATCTGTAAAATTCTTATGTTTGGCGTTAAAATCAATTTCGGCTTAACTGGTTAATAATAAAAAACATTGGTGGTTTTTATAATTTAGTAAAAAAAATGAGTCGAATTAATCTAAAAATAAAAAGAAAAAAGTTAAAAAAACTTGTTTTTTCACTCTGGAGGGCAGTTGTAAAGAAAAGCAAAATTTGCAAAGCAGTGAAAAAGTTCATATATTAACCGGCTCATCAAAGACCTATAAAAAGTAGAAATAGTAAAGTGAAGCAGACAGGCCCAATAAAGATTTGTAAGAACTAAAGAACTTTGAAATTCTGTTGACTGCAAAGTGCAACAAAATTCGATTTGATCAATATCTAACTTAGCTGGAGAGGTTTGCGTGTCAAGGAGAAGACTGCAACGAGTCAACCATGAAGATTAGGTATGAAGAGCTTTGTAAAATCAAATAGGAAATTTTTGAGTGAGGATACAAGAGCTAAACAACAGAAAGAGCAAAGCAGCTTCTAGAATAGTTAAAAACCAAGTGTTTCAGTTGTCTACAGTGACGAATAAATCTTCACAATCGAGCCCAACAGATACAACGACAGAGTTCTAAGAAAGTCTAGAAAAACCTTTCCATTAGAAATTCGGATTATATCAAGAAGACAGCACCCTATAGAAGTGATGGTAAGGGGTGACGTTTGTTCATATGGCTCCAAAACTCCAATTGTCCTTGTTTCCAAAGGTGTCAAGGTCCCAACAATTTATGTTGCCTTTACAAGCTTTAGCTAACTTGTTGCCTTGTTCCAAGAAGAAGTTCGGTAATGATTCTGCATCTGTTCTTAGTGCCAAGAAAACTATGGCCTTTCTCCAAGAGAATATTCTTCGCTTGTGGTTGCCGGAAATGTTGTCCTCTTCTAGACCAGATATGAACCTCATGGACTTTATCATTTGGGGCTTCATGGAGTTAAAGAAGGCGCTCAAAACATATTCAAAGCTCTCTCAAAGCAAAATTAACAAATAATTACTTTTGAAAATAAACTAAGAATGCAGAAATGGCTAGTGATAGCTGTTTATAAACCTCCAAATCAGAATTGTGACTATTTCTTCAATCACCTAAAAGAAGTTCTTGGTTTTAATTACAATCATATATAGGTTATACTCTAACTGGTGATTTTAACATGCAATCTTCGCATAAAATAATGAAGGAATTCCCTCATTTTTATTAATGCATTAATTTAACTAAACAACCAACTTGTTATTCATCAGTTAATAAACCTTCAAATATAGACCTTATACTCATAATAGAAAATTGTGCTTTAAAAATTCAAATAAATCAACTAATGATCATCAACTAATATATACAATGCTTAGATCTACATTTTGTAAGTTACCACCTAAAAAACTAACATATAGATCGTTTATAAATTCTTGTTATGATATAGATACATTTAGTGAGATATTAAGCAAAAT